CAATTAAGATGTTATAAGTATTACAACCAAACCGGTTACAAGTATGTGAAACTGAAAATTGTAAATTGTCACTTCTATTTTTCCCGTAAACAGAAGTAACCCGAGAGTATACAGAACATTACTCTTTGGAGCTTTTATATCAAAATGAAATCTGTAAAAATATCACATAAGACGTTTTCATTATACTGGTTAATACAATAAATCCTTTAATCTCTGACTGTGATTGCGGTTTTCCACGTATCGAACGACCTTGTCTTGAATACAATCGATCATATGGGTCACTTAGCCCTAAAATACTATTAGCTCAGAACGCGTTTTGTCAAACGACCTCGTGACTGTTACTGTACCGACACTAGTATTTTACTTGCGTACGAGATTGATATAATTTAATAATTGTAATGTAATTGCGAAATAGTAACACGAAATTTTTTCATTAGCGTTTAGGCGAACAAATAAACGGCCGGTTAATTAGCTTGCGACCGTCGTCATTATGAAACGGTCGGTGACTTATGTTTTTGCGTGTGTGTTAGTCCTCGTTGATCCAAACGGTATGAATGAAACATGAAATTTTTATTACACTCGTTGTGGTGTAACGACTCGGTCGGCAACGGCCAGTGAAATCTAAAACAATACTGACATTAACTATTCTGAGCCCGCAGTCGTGATGTCCAAACGGACTGATGAAATCTCGACGTGCTTAACTCGATATATTCGGTGTATTTAATGATTCGCTGAATAGTTGTTATGTGGAAGATGCCTTCAGTAATATGAAGTAAGCTATTACAATAAAAAATTGCTTAATTGGACAAAGAAAAAATGTTATTTTGTCAAGTTCAAGGTTATTGTCATTCGTTCACCGAAAAGATCAAACAGGCTTGTCCGGGTCCTGAGAGTATTTTTTCTTGACCTTTTACATCAGTCACGTTCAAAACGTTGATAACAGAGTAGATGATATTAAAGTAAACGATTATTATTATAACCGCCAATCTGATGGTAATGGCGTTATATGTTCTAAGTGTTTTATCGGTACAATAAAGTCAAGAAATAAAAATTAAAATACAACTTAAAAAAAAAAAATTACATATATAAAATAATTTGATATAGTTTTGTTAACAGCGTGTGTAACACATAATTAGTGTAATTAAATGATTAACAGCATTTTGACGAGTAAAAGTCATCGACACGCTCGAGCGAACGTTGTCGTGTTTCACGTAGATATTTAACAACGATAGAGTACAGTTATGCGAATTTAAGCAAGTTTTCTAATCAATACATAATGCAATTTATTAACACCAGGGATTAGTTACTCGTCAAAACCAGTGTAGTGATAAATAATGTGTTGTTTAAATGGTTTACTTCCGAACAATATTCATTATTTATCAATTAATGGTAGATTAACTAAAAACTGTTCAATAAAACATCGGATAGGCATCGAAATTAACCTTTACGCTGGTGTAATAAAAAAGATACGCTGTATGTTATGATATAATATTATGATATCATGTAACGCGATGATTCAGTAATATTCGCGCATTGTACGTTTGGACTTAAATGGGTTTGAAATATTGTCCTCATTTGTATTATTATAACATATATTTTTATTTATACGTTTATCAACCAAGATGAGCTGGTCATGAAATAATATATCTAAACCGTTATAATCTGGTCATAGGTTTTTCGGCCAAATTAATTTGACTTGAGCAACTGTGGCCGATCAAAAATGTCGCAAGTATTCGATTTGGGCCGATGACAAATTACCTGAGCCCTTTGTGCAGACGTCATACTTAAATGTGTGGGCTCAACCGTTTTCATCGAATACAATGGCAGATCTCAGAGCTGTTAATGTATTGACCGGATTAAGGTTTGCTAAAGCGCTATCACCCACACGCAGCGTTAACTTTGTTAATAACTATTGCGAAGTAAATCACGTTTAAACTCGACACGTTGGAAAATAAAGTGTATTCTAAGACATTTCAGTAAAAAACGATCTGGTACGTTGCTAAATATAAATCTTATTAATATTAGCACAACAATCAAGTTTTTAAATTAAGTGCGTTTGAATCATTATAAATCGATTAAATTTATGTTGACTTACCTTTATTTCAAAAGTACTTAAATTCGATTTTCAATAGCAAGAAAAAAAAACGCCCACTTTGTACAGCTAAAAATGAAAATAGTATTTTCAAAATCCTGTTATATCAAAAAAAAAAAAATTTTTATTATAAAATTTGTATGCAAGTGTGTATTTTTTAAACATTTTTTTTTAAATATCGAGTTACATGATTTTGTCATGGTGATGTCTCCAGTATTTCTTCAAAGAGAGCGTAAAATACTTTTTTATACGTCAATTATTGCTAATTTTATCACTAAAAATCCGCTCTTCTTTTAATTTTAGTCAGCGAAATTAATTTAAAGAGGTATGTGCGCCCCCTTTTGTCAAAAAACGACGATATGATACCAACTATGATGTATTATGTTAGTTGTCTTTCAATAATTTAATTAATATTTCTTAATTATTTACTGCCATCATTAAAAAAACATTAAAAATAACAAATTGTTAACGTTGCATTGTCACAATACAAGAAAAATATTTACTAAATAATTAGAAAATAAGATGAATGACAAAAATAAACAGTTATCATTATTTATTCTGAGTTTATTTAATTAAGAATTAAAACCTACACATCTCAGAATTTTTAGTTGTTATGAAAGTAAACGTTTGTTTTCACACTTGAAATCTATTGGCACGGGACAACGATTTATTTAAACTGCATTGTTGTTTACTTTTGCATAGCAAACTTTTTTATACTTCCAGGACACCAACAATTTAATTATATTTTTACGCTATGTCTATAAATAGGTCTACCATTTAAAATCATCTCTTATGATTGTAACAGTTCTTACATACTTTGTTAAAAAGTGCAATAATATGTATGGTATTTTATATGTAGAGCTTGTCGATGTCAACTAAATAGTGTATTCTGTTTGTATTCGAGAATTTCAATTATTTGATTACAAATATGCTTGAAAAAATAATCATCAATTTACAAATTAAATAATTCTAAACACTAAAAAAAATATCAAATTAACTTTTGGTTTTTAATAATAATGCGTGTTCCAAAATATACTATTGTATAAAAACAAATTGATGGTATTAGTTTTTGCATTAAAGTATTTTATAACAAGTTTTATTTTAGAATAATTATATCTATTGACTTTTAAATGTCAAGTTTGAAATTTGAATTTCACCGAGTCAAATACCAGGCAAAATTGTTTGAAGGAACTGAAATAATATTAAACATATATAAATATTCTATCAAGAATTATTTATCTCCGACATTCTCATACTTAAACATGATAGAAATGAGCCGAACGAAATTTTTTTCTGGTCAATCAACAGCAAGTAAACATTATCAGTTGCTTTATGATTATTATTCTAATTATCATCGCATAATATAATGGATGTTACAGAACAATGTAATATACACGTCGAAAAAAACAAGCTGTCATAATAGATCGAAGTGACAACAATTAAAACTTGTTATGACAACATACATGTAACCAATATTAGCAATACGCCAATGAAATGACTTAAACATTTTTATTTATTTTCTTAGCCCGAAGTTACACGGATTTGCCGGCGTTGAGTTTTTGTTCGAGGACCGTTTTGTTTGGTACAAAACGTCAATCTTGCACCACCTCGTTTGCACAAACCGCGCGGGTTGCTATTATATGCCGTCGTCTATAGCGCTAAACAATAGAATACACGGGAAGACTTGCGTTTAACGAACTTAACACGAAAGCAATCTGAAATTGACCCCATGGGCATTGAAAACACGAAATAAAAATAATTATTAATAACACATCATTTATGGCGACAATGCATAAACGACAGAAGCAATAATATAGTACCCCTATATGTATAAAAGAATGGACATGATGACCACCTACGTTGGATTTTGACCGCAAAGTTACTTGGCACCTGCTTTTAACGATTATTGTCAAACGCTTCAAATTAAATTTATATTAATTCAAAATAAATTTACTTATTTAGCAAAATTGACTATGGGAAAGTCGAGTATTTTATATCAAAAAAATAAAACACTGATAATTAGAAAATTGACGGAAAGAAATGAAATATTACTTTTTTAATAGTGTGCCAATATAAATTTTTAATTAAACTTTTCAACGTTTAAATAAGATAAAACCTGTTTTTGCAAGCATTTAATTGAATATGTGTTATGTAGATAACTAATTTAAATAAGTAATTTATGAAAGTTTCAATTATATCTACAAAATTATGTTGAAGACTATACAACTAGATAGAAATGTCTTAATAATCCATTAACATTACGATGTTTTCATATTTAAAAACCAATACTCTTTAGAGTAATTTCAAGGTTTTAAATTAATATCCTAAGAATTTTTACATCGTTTATGAATAAATTTTGAAAAATAATTCAAATTTTAATTGGTCTCAAATTTATCCTAAACTTTGTATGAACTCATTTTTCATTGTTATGTATATAAGTTTTACTGGAAGTTATGACTATATGATGCAATGTTCTAGAACACATTATCAGTGACTTAAACGCCACTAAAAACAACAAAATACTTCACACAAAGTGTTGCTCAATGGGACATTAGTAAATGTTGTAAAATATTAATGAAAATTTGTAATTTAACTTGAAGGATATTATGTTGACCCAATCTTACCTTTATCTTATTGTATTATTTACACATATAAATACCACAATTATTACAGTTAACACGTTATTTTAATTCAGTCTAATTTGTGAGTAATTAACATTTTCTTATTGTTAATTTCCATTTAAATTAGACTATTATATCATTAATAGCCTCGAGTACTCGGGTTACAAAAATGTATAACATGTGCACCGCTTAGTTTTAAACGAGGGAGAGGAACCAGAAGATTCAGCAGAAGTCACTATATTATTGCGTTTGCACGGCGGGGGAAAGTTATAAAACGAACTCGAAGTCTCAACCATTGACCAGTTTACCACATGAAAGATTTTTGTACTAACGTTTATAAGGCATTCGCGATAGCATTCGGAGTTTTCCATTGTAGTGTGCGTTTCTTATAATTTTTAATTAAATACAAAAGTAATCGTATTGACTACTAAGACACCATCGTATACAGTGTCATTCATCATGTATTTTAAATCCCTATGGGTAAGTCTTTAATTTATTTCTTAATAGCTAATGTAGTTGAAATTCTATCTTATTATGTTATTATAAAAATAAATATTTTGAGTAATATATTTTTTTAATTTTTTAAATAAAATAAACCAATGTAGAAATATTAATACCCTATTTTTTTTTAGAATTTGTATTTTTAATAAATAAAATTCAATTCTAGATGAAATTAAAACGTAATTTTATTTCCGTTTTTAGACATCTGTTATTTATAAAGAAGTAAATCAAATAATTAATTTATTAATTTATCAGTAATAAAATGTTTTAAATTAAACTGTAATTTATTTTTAATTAGTACTGAACAAGTGATAACTTTTGTTCGCCATTTAAATTATTTTTTTGGAAACATAAGTACAGTACCTTAATAAAATACATATAGTAATCATTTTTCATTTATACTTAATAATTAAAACATCATTAGAGTAATTTTAACATCTAATGATAAAAATAATTCAATATAACTAAAAAAGTAGACAATACATGAATATTTATCAATAGGAATCCCAATTATATTATTTTTTTAAATATAAATATTAATTTTGTATTTTATATAATTACTTCTCTATCATGGTAAATCATTCTTTATATGACCAATGATATTTTATATTATTTAATGTATTTACTTTTTTTACCCATTGAGCGTATTCAACATTTATATATCTCGTTAGTAAGACGACACGCTACAAGAGTTAATCTTATTATTTTTTTAAATATAATTTTTAAAGAAAAAAGTCGGATGAAACTATTAGATACACTTCCTTAGACACTGTTGACGTAGACCTTGATATATATCACTAAAGCATTGTAGTCGAATCACCCCGTGGAACTGTCAAACCTCTGATCAGTATTAGTCAGCATATTTTTGAATATATATATATATATATATATATATATATATATAATATATACAAAGAAAAGCAAATGCAAAGATTTTCATGGACCTTGAGTATTAAAATTGTTAAGTTTGACACCTGTCTAGATCTTTGTAGCTCTATAAAATATTACATTTATTGTGTAATCATTCGAATTTCACTGGTTGAAAAATATTTTGATTTTTATGTAAAATTATATCTTGCTATATTCGCTATAAACTAATGTGGCTAATGATAAATTGTTCTATTAGGATGGAAAAGCGCAGCAGCTTTCACTAATCGTTATCTTACCGACCACTTATCTACGTTGGTCATCGCGCACACAATAACAATAACCGTTATAAAAGTGTATTCAATAACAATGGCAATACAAGTATTTACTAATTATTGCGAAACAACAATCCGTAACTATCGCGCTCAAATTCTCACATTCTTGCCGTGGTCAGTATTCGCTTTTTATTTTTAATTTTTATACTTTTACATTACTTAGTAGCCATTACAAAAAGCAAAATTAATTATCTTCCTGTAGTGAACTAATAGCCTTGGATTGATTTGTTTTCTTATACGTCTTAGGTTAACGAGACCGACTCATGGGAATTGTGATGAAGTAATCACACCACTATTTTGCCGCGCACGTTTCCCGCGATTGCGCCATAGTAAAATTATTTATGACGTTTTTTGTTTACCTAATAATTTTACATACTCTGTTTGTTTACAGGGCGTGTTTTTTACGACACTTTTTATTACGTCTACAATAGTAGATTGCCGAAGAGTTAGCATTAAAGCGGCCGAAGAAAACGAAGAAGACGATCAACCCCAACAGTTCGAAGAAGACAGACCACGACAGCTAAAGCCCGTTCTTGTGGCCAGAAGACCACTGAGACCATTAGTTGCCGCAGATGGTGAACGAGATCCAGTACAAGTAGTAGTTCGACAAGCGCCCAGGCAACTTCTTCAACAAAGACCTACTGCTGATGAAGAGGAAGAATCACCAGAGCAGCCACCAATCGTTGCTATTAGACAACCTAATAGATCTTTACAACAACAACGTGCACCTCAGCAACAACAATTTTCACAACAAAGGCATAAAGAACAACAACAAGAAAAAAAAGAACCAACTGCCCAAACCATAAGGAACTACAACAAGCTAAATGATGATGGTTCCTTTACATTTGGTTATGAAGCAGATGACGGCAGTTTTAAAGAAGAAACTCGTGGTACCGATTGTGTAGTTAGAGGAAAATATGGTTATGTCGATCCAGATGGTAACAAAAGAGAATTTACTTATGTTCAAGGAAATCCATGTGATCCAAATGCAATAAATGATGATGAAGAAGAACAACCAGCCAAATCTGACGAAGAAGAAAATATTCCCGCTAATATACCTGCAAACTTCCCCAAACCCAAACCCAAGAAGAACCGCCCAACAACCACATTGTTCCAACAACAGTTTGGTGATTTTGAACCACAACAACCATCAACTACTCCTCGTCAACCTGGCCGTCAAGTTTCCGAAACTCCAAGACTACCACAGATTTCGCCAACTTCTGACAGACCATCAACAACAGCATCTCCATTAAAACCGACACTCCGTCCTGCTGAAGACTTAGAATCAGTATTTCGTGCTGTTTCTCAACCTTCTTCACCAAACGCTATTCAAACTGGACCAAACCAACCTGTATACACCACTGAGTTAGTGTTTGACCCAGCTACCGGACAATACAATACTGTTATCTATCAACAGGTGCCTAAACAACAGGTTGGAATCAGCAGCAAACAACGTTTGCCCTCGTCATTGCCATCACAACAGTTTGATACTCAACCATCGTTACCTTTTCGACCCTCACCAGCTGTACCACACTTCCAACCTGAATTCGTTCCACAAAGAGCTGAGTTTGGTTTTCAAAGGCCAGCTTCATTTCCTGGCCCCAGTCCTCAACAGCAACTTATTGAACAACAACAATCTCTGATGTTCCAACAATCACAAAATCTATTCAGACAACATCAACAAGCACAAAAACAACAGCTCTTGCAACCTTTTGCGTCATCGCAGCCATTCCCTGCTCAACCATCTTTCCAAGCACAACAACGATTCCCAGCGCAACAACCTTTCCGTTCGCAATCATTCCAATTTTTCCCACCACCATCGCAGGGACAACGTTTTGCGCCACCACCAAAACAACAAAGGTTCGAACAACAACCGGAAGCTCAGCAACAACAATTTGTCTTAGTTCAACCTGGCCGAACCTCTTCCCAACAAAATTTGGCTAATGGTCAAATAGACGCTTTTCTAAGAGGCCAAAACGTTCAATTCTAAATTAATTTCTAATCATTATTATTATTATTATTATTGTGTATATATCACGTTCGACCATTTATTTATATTTTTAATTTGGCTAGGTGTCATTTTGTGTAAACTACTATTTAAAAAATTGCAACACGTACCACAATCGTTTGATTTTCATACGTTTAATATACAAATATCATATTAAAACGTATACGATTCACACTGATTGAGCCACACAGTTTTCACTTATTGAAGGTGAAAGCTATTAACGTCGTATATTTAATGAGTAATATGTTGTTTAAAACATTATTCTATTGTAACTTAAATGTGTGTATGTTTGATAATTATTATTTAATTCGATGTTCTCTGTAATTAATAACTGATAATGTTACAAAAATAAAGAAAACAATATTATATGAAAATGTGTTGAACACTTGTATATATTTTTTTTTTATTAAATAAATTGATTTTTTATGTTATTGAATTGTTTATTTATTGATACTCGATTTAAATTGTATGTACATCATTAACATGAACAAATTGTATAATATAAATAAGTACTTGTAAATGCAAATATTTTTACTTTCAAGTAGACTATTTCGTTTCAATACTTCGTTTGGTCTAGATGATGTAACTAATTCATCTCTCGAAATTAATTGATATACACATTTGAGTGCCGTTGACCCAAATTAAAACGCAATTCGTGCACAGTTCTAATATAATAAAGATTATGGTAGCGTAACTGGTGCAACAAACTTACTGGTCACTACTGATAAATATGACATATGAAATAAACAATATTGTGACATAATCCACAGGAATGAGTTTCTCAATAAAAAATGGATTAGGTAAAATATAGGCTCGACACTGACAAAAACAACAAGATGTCACGATAGCATGCGCATATTAAAAATATGTATATATATTTACAAATATATATTGTAGTAACTAATATCATCCGCCACAGAGCCTAGTTAAGATTACATTAATTCATTTCTTATTATTAAACAGCTTATAATAAAAGCTTTGTTGGTACATAGATAATGGCAAATAGCTAATAATAAGTAGCAATACTTTCAATCATTATTTTAGAAGTGTTGTCAGAATTGTCTTGGTCTTCCGAAAAACTTTTTTTTCAATTAATCACAAACAATTTTTTTTTTAAGTTTTAGTACTTTAAGCTACTATAGTAATTAAATTAATACGTGCGATTTTTAATTGTGTTAAAACTTAAAGTTAATTTTAAAAAACCCAGCACAGTGGGGTCGCGGTATAGTGGGGATGTTGCATAGTTGGGTCCAGTATAGATTTAATCTGACAGTGATTAAAATCACTATCATAAGAAACGCTTCGATGCAAATCAGTAGATAGTNAATACACTTAATACATATAAAATATAACCGAATAAAAATGTATAGTACAATAAAAATATTTTTTATCAAATTATATTTATATTTTAAATAATTAAGTCATCACTGAAATTATTATTTTAAAAAATTATAATATTTCAAAATACTAATGAGGCAACAATTTCCTACTCTTTATACTGAATCAATGACCTAAAGAGCTAAAAAGAATGTATTAAAAAATGTTGAAGAATACTTCTACTTTTAAAATTATAACTTTATTTTACTTGATTATAAACAACTTTAATAGTAATTTTAGTTCTAGTAGTCTATAATTCATATATTTATTAAACTAAAAATATCTCAAAAATAATCCACGATTGTGGATAAAATCATTTAGCAAAATTATTCATGTTAAGACCCAAAAGCTACTAAAAATATCACATTAAATAATTATTGTGTAAATATTTGATCTATGCAATAATTTATTTATAATAATTTTAAAGTATTTGCTAATGGTATTAGACGTCAAACATTTAAAAAAGACTAATGACTACAGTTTACATAGAAATAAAAAAATCGAGGAGATTGAATTTTTGTATAGTCGATATTTTCTCTACAATAATTAATAATGTATAATAATAATGTAAAATTATTTAATTTTAACGTTTCTTAAATTGAAAATTATTATTTCAATTATCGAAGTTGTATGTTACATAAAACCTGTTAATAGTCTTGTTTATTTTGTCTGTTGTCGATGGATCAACGAAAGTATTCAAAAATTAATTAATTATTATTATTCGATAACAATATGATAATATGATCTGTATATTAACCTCCAATGGGTCATTGTGAATCTATTTTATGCGAACAAATTGCGTAAAAATAAGTCGAACTAGTTTTCAGTGGGTTAGTAGAGACACACCCACTCGGTCAATGGAATGAGGATATTCGATAATCATGTTGGACGTCTGGTTTTACCTCGACTTTCTCTATATTTATATTTCGGAAGTTGACAGATCGCGATCAACTGTTTTTATGACAAAACCACGAATTTCGATTTTTTTAAATTTTTCTGGAGGAAAAAAATACAGCATTTTTGTATAGAATACTAAATACTTTTACCATAGTGACAACAGTACAACTATTTAAGATTAATGTACTTTGTATTATTACAAAAATTTCTTTATAGAAATTAAAAATTTAATTATAAAATATAAATTAATTAGCAAGATTTGATTTCAAATACTCTAAAAAGATAATTATATTGTTTTTCATGAATAATCTTACAAAAGTCGTTTGATATTTGGCAAAAAAATGATAGTGATTTATTTTTCTTAGAATACTAGGCACAAAGATTATTTAATAATTTAATGTTTTATAATTTTCAAAAAATAAGCTCAATTTATCGGGCTGTATTAATTATTTATTTTTTTGTCATGTTGAACAATTAAAATTGGCATTTATTTATTGTTGTAATTTTGCAAATAATTATATACAAATTTTAGCTCATCATTTTTTAAAATATGAAGCAAAATATTCCAATAAAAATGAATTTCAATATTTAAAATTACAAATCTCCCATGAAAAAACGCCAAAATAAAACTAAAATTTTTAAATACTCGTGGAACACTGAAAAAGTTTTTTTTCAATCATACAGTTATTAACCAGATAAGTAGTATCCGTCACATTAACTTATACAGCGAATATACCTTAAGAGATAACAAAATATTATAGTACGTGTTTTTCTCTCTACATTTTTCTTCTAAATAATTATCATTTGGCGAATAAGACTATTCGGTAGGTAACTAATAGTTACTGAAACGTGGTAGTAATAATGAATTGTAGAACAATTCGTATAGATTTATCAATTATTTCTAATAAATATATCTTAAAACTAAAGAAAGCTATTAAGACTTTAAAATTATTAAAATTTATTATATTAAGACTTATTCGATAAAAATAGTTCTGTCAATAAACATAATTTGATAATCGAAGTACATTAAGTATTTTTTTCAGTATTAACGTATTTTTATATATTTTATTGTATGATAAGATTTTTATAGCACTAGTTATATACTACCTTTTTATTTATAAAAGGGCTAATTTAAAATGTTATTTTAAGTTAATTTATCATAAATATATTGGAATTGATTTTATTTTTAAAAACAAATTAAGATAAAATTATAGGTTTTTGGTGTATATATTTATGCTCAACAATATACACACATGTATAATATATTACAGCTTAATTTTTAATAAGGCGTAAATTCAGTTTAATTAAATTATTATTGACAATGCCATAGCTAGTCTTTCTTCTTGGAGGGGACTATGAACCTTTTTCTTGTCTTTTCATATGCCTTAATTAACATCAAAGTCACATACTGTTAATAGTGATAATTTGCCGATTATTAAGTATTATTTAATTATTCGGTGACCATCTAAAAAAAAAAGTCTATAATTTCTTAAAAGGCTAGGATGTTACTACCTGTAAAATGGGAAATGCATATAAAATAAATTATTAAACCAAGTTATGTCAATTTACCTGAGGCATGGTGCAAAATGACAAATTTTTTTTTAATTATTAAATAGTCCTTAAAATAAATCAGTTTTAATTAATGAGCTTTTACTAATTGGTTTCAACATACCAAGTAGTATTTCTACCGAATTTCAAGTTTTTATGGTGAATACTTGCTTTATCCTTCCCTAATCTTTTTTTTTTCTAAGTATTACTATTAATAAGAAACCACATATGACTAATAGTATAACTACTCTCTGGAGGTTATACTAGTAAAGTTGGTAAGTAAATAAGATAATATTCAAAAAAGTAAAATATATATGTAGATATGAACAGACCTAAATTTAAAAACACATTTTTTAGTATATTATGAATATTTTATTTAAATGAATTCAATTATGAATAATAACTACATTTGTCCTCATCATAAACGTTATGAAAACTTGATTTTTTTTTACTATACAAACATTGTTTATAAACATTATTTTTATACTTTTGAAAAATGTTTATAAAAAAATAATGTGAAAATAAAAATAAAAACCCGGTGTTTATATTTACATCCTACAAAATATTATTAAACTTACAGCTATTTTGATGATGTTTGAAATATTGTTTATTAATTTACTATTATTATTGTTAAATCAATAAAAAAATAAATATTATCTGACTTATAAAAAATAATTTTAGCGAAGATGTGATTTTCTTTCAATGAAATACACACATGTGTAATATTTGTCAGTTTAATAAGCAACAAGGCGTCTTAGTTAAGTATTATTTTACAATATTGAGAATTAAATTTTTATCACATAGATAATCTATATAATTAAAAATTAGTAATTACTAAATACTTAGACTGAGCCGATAAGCAATTCGGTGTTCAATATTGGGCCATTTATGTGATTTCGGATTTATCGATGTAGGGATAGTTTTTAATTTCGATATTAACTCAAATATTATAAAAATCGCATTTAAATCTAATAATCTGAGTGTAATAATCTAATAATCTATTATTAACCTTGTAAATAATTGAATATTATCACAAGTTGCCTTTTTACTGATAATTTTAAATAGTGCAGCATTAGTATATACTGATTACCTCTATTATTGGGTAACATATTCTTATGTCATATCCAATTAGTATTAACAAAAATTTAGTCTTATGTATTTACTGAGTAAACAAAAATTATTTGTAAATTTTATCATAGTTAGGTGAACTATTTTAAAATTTTATGTGAATAATATTATGTTTTGTTATATGTATAATAATTATTAGTTATATATAGTATATTATACTCATAATCCAACTTCACTTATTTACATGTTTACAATTTTTCTAATACTTATGAATGCATGAAAGCTTCCATGGATTGTTGTATTATTTAGACCTTGATCTTATAAACAAGACCTCATAGACTATAAACTGTTTATAACATCTAGGTATTTAGAATGTTAACAGATATATCTATGTCTTCATAAATATATGAATCTTGTATACTTGTCTATGTTATAAATATGGAATAGAATAACTCTCTACGGCCATCTTAATACCACTTATGGCTATTTTATTATTTAAGTGTTGTAAATTACTAGTATAATAAATGGTTTATTGTTTGATT